TACTTAATTCAGGACTTTTAAAGATATGAGAGATAGCCCACTAAATTTCTAAATTTGCTACTACAAATGACAGACCTCTTTTTCTTGGAAATTTGAATTTTCCATTAGGAATCATTTCCCGAAGACCTTGAAAGAAACATTCCTTCTTCCTCTTCTTCAGCAGTATTCCAGAAAGAGTCGTCTCATCATCTCCCATGTATGACATTCATTGTACAAACAACAATAATTTTATTAACTGACACTGTCCATCAAAACAACTGCAATGAATAACTGAGTTTTTTGTTGCTATGTTTCTCAGAATAGAACCAGTTTCATACAGTTTCATCTCAGTCAACTGGCATTGTACACAAAATTTATCAGCAAATTACAGCACATGGCATTATAGCTACAACTGCGCATATCTAGACATCGGGTCTCAAAAGCAATCTATTGTTTAAGATATTAAACATTGCTGCCGGAAAGATAGTTTTGAAGGATGTAGTATGCTTATCACCAATCTCCTTTCCCTTATTCCTGTTCCCTTTTCTTTCCCTTCCAGTTTTCAAAACCGAAATTCATTTTTATGAAAATGAAGAAATTATATTACACAAGAAAAGGAGCTGGCGGGAATGAGATCACATTTAACAGTGATGAGCAGCCATTAAGATGATAAACTGTTATGAGCATTTGCGCACTCAAGCTCATAAGTGAATACTGATGTGTTGGTGTTACTTCAGTTGGTCTTACTAACTGGTAGTAGAGAAAGAGTGCCGAGAGAAGAAACACTACAATCGAAATACTATGAAACAACAGATAATTTCAAATTTGAACAAATAAGAAAAACAGATAAGGTAGAATGATCCGAAATATTAACTAAACGACAAACACAATTCTCATTTATAAGGGAAATGGTTACAAATCCAACCTTTAAGTTGGTTATTAAAATTTAAAAAGGCAGCTCAGCTGAGATAACCAAGTTTTCTTAAAAACAAATTATTCTGTATTATGAAGAATTGTTACTCAAATCTTCTCTTTCTCAAAAAAAAAAAAAAAAAAAAAAAACATCCCATCTCCAATACATTACTCTTTTGAATAATTATTCGTTATAATCGTAACAGAAAAATGAATAAAAAGAAACAGAGAGAAATATAGATAAAAAAAAAAAGAAACATCAATAGGTTGTCGTCAGGATAGTGAATGGATTTAAACACAAACTTGCAACAGCAATAAAAATGGATTATGTTTTCTTGGAAATGAAAAGTGGTAGCTTCTTTTTTTTTCAATGACTTCTGTAGCACTTCGAAAAGCTATTTTGTCTAAACTAGCATATCACTTCCTTTTCTCCTTATTTTAAATGCTTTAAAGCACGTTATTATTAATAATATACCTTTCTATCATATATCTCCAGATGCTGTTAGGATGATTTGCATTCAAATGATAGCTTTCCTATAAGAAACGAATCCTTCTCACCTCTTAATCTCAGCATCAGGCCTAGATAGGCTACAAACATTCTGTCATCCAAATGTTTCAATCTTTTTCAGAATAGATTTTGAAATGAGAAAAATAAAAATAAAAAAAATTCAGTTCTTCCTATATCCTTCCTATTCCAAGATATTATTTCCCAAAATTAGGCGTATTAGCAAGTGTGTGTGTTCTTCACTAACTTTTTTCGTAGCACTAGAAAATAACAATTTAATTGATCAAAGAAACGACAAATCGATGCCATAAGAGCGATATTGCACCTGCGTCCCTCGCATCATAAAGTAATGAGCCAAGAACTGGAAACAGTGGTCGACAAAATACTTTATCTAACTATCTACATTACATATATTCTCCTTTTGTTATCCACTCGTATTTTCTCTCGCCAAAACTACTGAATAAAATTTGTTCATATTTGGACAGATCAAATCTTTTTTGAATAATAAAAAGTGAAGAAATAACTAGCAGAGATATTTAACAAGAAATTTCAGTTATGAAGATGGAATGGATTTCAAACAGTAATGTCAAGGGATTAAAAGTGCACAGATAGGTAGATTGGTTTACTGGTTGAAGATTTTGCAGAAATCATTGAGCTTGACTTTATAAAAAAATTTGCTTTCCTTTCAGGCAAAAAATGAATACATCAAATAGCAGAAATGAGTTTGCCATTGCGGTGAGTCTCGTCTTTGTTAAATCTATAGTGCTTTAGCAAAGTGGAGACAGAAGCCAAAGAGGGTGGAAAAGTTAACAGGTAAGCAGTAGAACCATTGAAAAGAAGTAAGGTAGGAGACACAGCCACCATAAAGGAATTAAATTTTGAATTTTCTTGAAGGCAGAGAATAGCGACTTTCCAGTCTCTATTTCCGATTCTGAATCAATTTTAAGCATATGAAAACGAATAAATAATCTAGACGAGTTCTATACATGCATAAAGACAAATAGAGCATCGAGTTTTTGCAGTCTGATGCTCGGTCCATCTGCCAACAGAATTCTGGGAACATGATCTATTTCTAGATATGAGCTACTTTTTGTTATGGAATCCGCACGGTCAAGTAATCACCCAGTCATATCACATCACTTACCTGATCAGTCGATAATTGCTAATCTGATCGGTTGTTATAAACTTTTCAAAACAAACAGTTTATGTCTTTTTATAAAATACTGAAACAATTCTTGGGGTCACTTGGCAGCATTGTGGTTTTAATGCTTCATGAAGTTAAGATTCCGTTTAATGAAAATGTTCGACTGTTGAAAGAGTTCGAACAATGCAATACAAATTTGAATATGTGAAATCGAGGAAGAAAAGACAGCTGCTCGGTGGTTAAATGATATCCATTCCCTTTTCATTTTCCGTCAGATCGTAATCTCATTTTACCCTTCTGTCCTGTTGGCCATCACAAGGAGTGAGGGTCCTTGTCTCCGATGATGGCGCCTATAGCAACTGTGAAATAGACTATCTAAGCAGCACAACAAATTAATGTCCTAATTCTAATGAAGATTAAGATGCCCAACAGATCAATCATATTCAAGCCGAATTCATTACTATATATTAAATATCTCTCAAATTGCTACAAAGGCTGATATGAAACGGTCAGGTTTCTTAATAAGAAATTAGAAAATAGAAAGTTATCTTTATTATTTCAAAAATCACAGTGAAAAATATTTACTTGAAAAGATATTCACAGCTATTTTTTAATGGAACCATCTTATAATCTAGTCTTGTCTTTCCTATTTCTTTACATCTACTCTCCTTTGCTAAACTTTGCTTCATTTCGAGTAGCAAACACATGATGAACTACGTGTGTATTGGCTAATCAGTGCTAAGATATATTTTATAATTGTGATACTTAAAAAAATAAAAGTAAATTCAATTGCAAAATATATGTTCTAGTAAGATAGTGTGGTCACAAAATTCAAAACACATTTAAATAGGGCAGTTTGACTGAGAAATCTAGACGAAAGAGAGTAACCATCCCAAAAACGTAGTGAGGAAAATTTTTGAAATTTACTGCCATCTCTCCTCATGCTTACAATTTCAGTCTAATTAAAAAGAAAGATGACGAAATTTTGAACTATTCAATTGCAGCATTACTATTATAATGAAACTCTGTCATTGATACGCTTTTATCGTTTCCCAAATACTTTCCCAACTAAGTTTTCAGTTTCATAATCAGCAAGTGATCGAATATTGTTTCTATAACATACTAATGGTATGATATCTCTGACGCAAATAATTAGATTTTCTCTCCTCTTAATAAAATCGAAGGAATAAGTAGATTTAAACGATGAATGAATCTGGCCGAAATAAACACAAGAATTTGTTTAAATAATGGATCAATCTCTGGTACATCAATTCAAATCTAAGTAAATGCCTCGATGCATAATATCACAATGACTACAGTCATTGGGATGACCCGAACTGCCAACTATTTAGTTCTACTCCCAGCTTTACCTACCACACCCCCTACACTTACAAATAACGTAAGCGTACGTGTACACACGTACCCAAGTGAGCGATACAGACAACACAGAATTGTCATCTGTTTAATTCGCAACTCTCCTTCTCTGGCAATATGCTGTTTGTGACATGTCGACATCTTTGTACTCTCATGTTCTGAACACTCTCATTCACAACGATAACTATTGACAGATGCAGTGCTTCGTATCATTTTCTTTTCCTTTCTTTGTTCATTCAATTTCTATGAAAGGTGAAGTTAAAATGAGTGGGATGAGATTAGGGAGGAAGGGTAAGTTATGAATTAGAGAGAGAGAGGATTAAGTAGGTTAGATAAGTTACAGTAAGTGCTGGCATGCACATTTTGTTAAGCCTAGTGAAAATGCTTAGGCATATGTAAATGTAGAAAGACTGAAATGTGGACATAAACTTATCTCAAATATAGAGTTAGCCATGTAGAGCTCTAAAAATAATTAATAGAAAAGTATTTTGTTCAAAATTCTCTCAAGCCATTTTCATCCTATTCCCCCAAAATTTGACATCCTGTTATCACATTCTGCTTTAACACCAGCGCTATTTTCATGGTTTAGTGATGACAGTTCTATTTGCCTCCTCTTCCTGTAGTTAGAGTTTGATTGTCCAAAATATTCTTTTCTCATGGCTACTTTTACGTCTTATAACTCTTTTGTAAAAAATCTTTAAAAAGTTAAACAAAAGTAGGCTGCAAAAAGTAAGTTGTCATGCTACGTTTGTCTTCTACTTCTTACTGATATTAGCACTGTCTTTCTTTTTGAGAACATTAAATTATTGTTTTTTTTTTTTTTTTTTTTTTTTTTATTTTTCAATAAACGGAGAGGGGAAGAACATAGGCGATAGACAGAAATAGTTTAGAACTGAATATGTAGTACCATTCAGATCTGGATTGAAATACCTGCAACACCGATGTCAACTGAATTACTCATCAGGATTGCTGTTATTCTCTTTGATCGATAAGGTTACTAGTTATTGCTGATATAGCCTTCATAATATTCGAGTCGAGAACAATCTTGTCGAAAATAGTTCTTGTCGTTTAAGTGTAAGTACGATTATGAGCAACTTAAAGACCTGTTTGACATATTTCACTGATCAGATTGATATAATTCAGAATGAAATGGTAGCAAATATTATCGGATGGGTGCTGTTGCTGGTGTTATGTACACTTCTACAGGATCTTTTGCAAGCAGCATTGGATTGTAACGAGACAGAATGTGGCCCTCGAGTGAGTAAGTGTATGCTGCTGAAAGCTTGCAACTGTTCCATCAATCGTAACAGTATTTTGCATAACAACTGCTCTTGTTGCAATGAATGCATTCAGTGCCTTGATAAGCAATACATGCAATGTTGCGCTTGTGTTGGTATGTCATCTTTTTTGTCATTTATTAAATGATATTAGTGAATGAATGTTGTTTAACTGTGGCGCACGAGATAAATATTGCTAGAAGGATCCCTAATGGAATTTTTATTGCGCCAAAATCCAAAGCTAGATTCAGCTGCAGTTTAAAGTCAAAATTGAAAAAGTATTATCGCGCATTGAAGGGTAATGTTACAAAAATTTAATTCTGCTCACTATTAACAAAACAGTATTAACGACAGCCTAAGTGATGCTCATATTTTCAAAAACGCTACGACTCATTTTATTTTGTTCTGCCTCTTTTTTATTGTTAGTAATAGATAATAAGTCAGTAGAAGGGCAGTTGAAATCTTCAAAGCGTCATGCCATGTTTGTTACCGAGAATTTACAGTGGTATAGTTTGGTATTTGCTCAGCTGAAATTCAGCTTTGTCCAATTTGTATTATAGGATTATGTAATCCACACAAAGAAGCAGTGCATCTAAACAGTTATGTTGATCGATTCGATCAAGACGATGAAGATATCATTGTTTTCGACAAAGTTGCGCTGTATGTTTTTTTCTTAAGTATGTATTTTGGAATTTTACTATGAATGAAATAGCTCATTTGTTTCTTTATCTAGTTGTTTCATGTTCCTATTTATGAGAAAATCTCGAAATAAATTTGCAGAATCAAAAGTTGCAGTTTATATTCAGCATAAATTATAGTTATGTGTTGTATTTTTAGTATTATCACTTTGCATGTCAGCTTTAGCTGCTTATCTTCTATGATTAAGTCACTACATCTTATGCATAAATAATATTCCAGTTTTAATTGAATTTACTTTAGAGTGAATAAGGTCGGCACAACATATACATTTCCAGCTTTGCGTGAGTACTCGTTTGACCGCAGAGGTATATTCTTGCACTGTTGTAATTATGTGTTATGACAGTACTTTTTGCTTTGTATTTATTGCACAGTTGAACTCTTGGTCATCAGAAAAATTCTTCGAAGAAAAAGCTATAACGAAATTATAGGCCAAAATATGAAGGCTTTGGGAAGAACTCATCAAGAGACGAATTGCACAGTAGTTTATCTTGACAAGTGTATGTCGCATAAGCAGTGCAGTCGACAGTGTTTGGTATGTTTATCTTTTTGTGTTTTTCTGATCTTCACTCTGTCTGCATAAGTTTAAAGCGGTTCTACTTGGTTCTTGTAAATCGATAATTCAAGTGATATAATTATAGATTCTTGGTGCATCGATGCTTCGGTGGTTTCATACGGGTTGTTGCGAATGTATCGGACATACGTGTCTTCCATACGGTTCAACAACGGCACGATGTAAATACTGCACTGATTTTGATAATTCCCTTATGTTTGCGAGACAAACTGAGCTTTGACTCTTCCAACAACAACAGTGATAGACAGATTTTGTGGATACTGCGGAGAAAGAATGTTTTGTGTTAAAGCAATGAGTCGTCTGATCTTTAGGTTGTAAAGCATCTTTAAACCTAAGTTGCGTAACATATACGTGACAGGGTAAAGGTAATTGTTTCAAATATATCATTTAATTTTATAAATGTTTCCAAAGTGAATAATGTTTCCAGTTGGGAAATTACGTAAAATGAGCTAGTAATATGAAGCTCCTGAGTGAATGTTTGTGCATTTGTTAGTAATCTGTGATAAATATAATCTGAAGTTCATTGTTCTATCCCTTGTTCTTCGTTGTTTTTTAAATGCTGTTATGTAATGAAATATAATTTTAAATTGCATTGATAAATCGAACTTACCTAAAAAGGGACACCAAGTGAATTTGATAAGTTACAGTACGCGCATTTTCAAATATCTTACCTTTTTGCATCTATGTTCGACAAGATTATTCGGATTGTAAATTTGTTTCGAAATTGAATCTAGGCTTTAGCGATCGATTGACTGATACCGTTTTGTCCCATCAGGGTTGGTATTTAAACACTTTCTTCTTAGTATGCTAGATATGTTGAAGCATTTAATTCGATAACAAACGTGGGGTTGACATACTGATCTTATGCAAATTTCACTATTTGTTACTGTCTGACGTTCATTGCATAGAAAACTAAGAAGGGTTAGGTTACAGTTGCAAGTGGAAACGGTTGCATATATCTGGGTGATAAGGCGACGAACAGAACTACGAACTGTAGCTATACTTCAGCTTCAAGCTTTAAAGAAGACACCACCGATGATTACGCTGTTATCTTTAGCATCGCAAACAATCAAGGGAATAGGTAGTATGTCAGGTTTAACTTTGCTGATAAAATTAGTGCCCCTTTGCAATGTGAAATGCAATAAATGTTCTTGCTTTCATATGTAGCATATTTTGTAATATCTGTGGAGGAGAACTAATTTTTCATTCATAATTCATCTGAATTTGCAATAAACTTTCGTAGTAATTTACAATATGAAGTAGCTGCTGCTGAACATTGTGCGAATTCGGGTGAATTTCTCTAACACCGGTCATTAATGTATCACCCACTTGAAAGACTTTATGTAGATTAAAAACGATAATGTGAATATGGAATGTTTGCAGTACACCTGAATAATATAACTAAACTAATACAAGAAAAAGATGAAATTGTAGTTGTGAAAGCAAACTCTACTCTAGCAGTATTGTTCTGTTACACAATTACATCAGTCAGTGGAAGTACACACAGCGCATTGATTTTCGTGTTGAATGTACACATGCGTATTTTGCATGGGTTTTAGGGTTGGGAGCAGGAGGTCGGCTTGATTACTAAACTAACATAATTATTTATCTTTCGTGACTCAAAATTGTTGAGATCATTTAAATCTAACTTTAATATATCTTTCACATATCATCTTACAGACCACCAAACCCGAAGAATTTGTCAAACATTCTGTTAAAACTTCATTTGTAGTGAAGAAAGAGAGAGGAGGAGATAAAGCACCGAGCTGATAAGTGATAGGGCAGATTCGAGAGATACTAACTCGATAAAGAGAAAGAATGCCTCTTGGTAATTAGCATAGCAGTATGTTTGAGTCATACTAATGAAACTAAACTTTCGTGAATAAACTTCACAGATTATAAAATTTGAATTGCATATAGTGGTCTTTTTTCCTTAACATTTATGTCAAGGTTAGTTTCATTGATATTTATTATCCATTTATCGTTTTGTCGTTTAATAAGTAGGACAATTTTAAGGAAATATACGAAGTAGATTGCAGCCAATCGTCATACTGCAAACGAAATGTCGCTACATAAGGATTCCGCATTCATACAACTCCAGCAACACTTTGAATCGGAATGTAAGTTTCTGAAGATGGTTGATTTGTTCAAGCATGATCCACAACGATTTCAAAAATACAGGTTAGTTGCCTGGAAATATTAAGAGTATAGAATTGGAAAGAACTTTCCCTTTACTGCTTTTATCGAAAAGATTTTGCAGTTTGAAAATGAATACACCAGATGGACCGATTCTATTCGATTATTCAAAAAATATTATCAATGAAGAAACGATGAAGAGATTGTTCAATTTAGTGAGCATTTGTGTTGGCAGTTAATCTGTCATTGCATTAATTTCTGGGAGAAACGAATTGGGATGTAGTTTTATATGAAGTTGTATATTGATAATATTTGTTGTTGAGAGTAATCAATAATTGATGTTTATAATTGATACAATTTTAGAGTTTAAAGGAAGAATGGGACTGAAAAGATTATTATAGGCGAATTCAAGGAACGTTCTGAATATGAGGCAGGATATGTTCAGCGGGAAAAAAATCAACTTCACTGAAGGACGTGCTGTTCTGCACACCGCATTAAGGAACGTTAACAATAAACCTCTGACATTGGATGGACAAAATGTAAAACCATCTCTTTCTATTTTGAGCACTATTTTTCGGAATTTTTTGTAACCCCTTTAGTCAAATATTACCAATATGTTTGTTGTCATTTATTGCCATCGAAATATTTATTGTAGTTCCTCCAGTTAGGCTTATTGCAAATCATCACAATTGCCTAATTCTTTGAGTGAATCTTATAGGCATCCCATTTCTGGAGATCTCCTAATAGCTTATTCTTGTGTCGAAGTATTCCACCTATTAATTAAAATTGATAACGTGGACCTTTTAGCTCTCATTTATATGTGATTATTTTTAGATCATTATCCATTTTATGTTACTTATATTTTGTCCTTTTATTATCTGTAAATCATTTGGATGGAATTGTCCATGTGAATGGGAAAATAAAAGATCCTACTGAATAGTTTTGTAGGTGACAGATGACGTTAATAACGTACTGGAGCATATGAGAACGTTTTGCGACCAAGTGATCCGTGGAACTTGGAAGGGATATACAGGTGAAGCAATTACCGATGTTGTCAATATTGGCATCGGAGGTTCAGATTTGGTTTGTTTTCACTCCATATAAATTTGAAATTTTCGATTTAATTCTGCAGAATTATCTGCAACATTACTTCCAGGGACCATTAATGGTAACAGAAGCACTGAAGCACTACCAGGTTGGACCAAACGTTCATTTCGTTTCCAACATCGACGGTACACATTTAGCAGAGGTATACTCATAATACAAATTCTTGCACAAAAAAGTTTTTTGTTTCTGAATATCTTTTCCTTTTGGCTTTTTTAGGTGCTGAAGAAAATTAAGCCCGAAACAACAATATTTATTATTGCATCGAAAACATTTACAACACAAGAAACAATAACCAACGCTACTTCGGCTAAAGAGTGGTTCTTGAGCAAAGCAGTGGTACTTCATATTACTAAAAAATTTATATTTAAAATTCTTTCTTACATATGTCTGGTGAACTTAAGCGATCGGTTCCAACTATCAACGGCAGTTATATACGGTATGTAAAGCTTTGTAACAGATGATGGCGATGTTTTCGAGGAAGCTGTTGAAATTACCCCAAGAAATGTTTTGGTTGTATTTACAGAATCCTGCAGCAGTCGCTAAACATTTCGTAGCATTGTCAACGAATGGTCCAAAAGTGCGTGAGTTTGGTATTGATGAAAATAACATGTTCGGATTCTGGGATTGGGTCGGAGGCCGTTATTCGTTGTGGTCTGCTATTGGACTTTCTATTGCCGTACATATTGGTTTCGATAATTTTAGTCAGTTGTTGAAAGGCGCAAGTGCTGCTGACGAGCATTTTCTTAATGAACCAATTGAAAAAAATGTTTGTTTATTTTTTCCTTTTGCTTGGTATCTGCAAGGGGATGCTTGTTTTATATATACAATGAAATATGAAAGTACTTAAGAAACTTTTGATAATGACATCATCTATCTTGCAAGGATATATTACTCAAGAATGCTTTGTCCACTTCTCCTGATAATCAGAAATCAAAAATGTTCGAAAACTACTTTGTTAAATATATAAAACAAGCATTCTCTTGCAGATACCAATAATTATGGCTTTACTTGGTGTCCTTTACATCAATTGCTTTAAAGCTGAAACACATGCCCTCCTTCCATATGATCAATACTTACATCGATTCGCAGCCTACTTTCAACAGGGTGATATGGAGAGTAATGGAAAATTTGTGATGCGGTCAGTTCTATCCTTATCTTTCTTTGTCATTTATAATATCATTAAGATTTCCAATAATTTAAAATGCTTCATAGTTTGTTCAATTTTCCAGGGATGGTAATCGTGTCGATTTTCCCACTGGGCCAATTGTCTGGGGTGAACCTGGAACTAATGGCCAGCATGCTTTTTACCAACTTCTACATCAAGGTATGTTTTGTTTTGTTTTTGTCTTTATTGCCATTACTGTGAAAGGCAAAACTACGATGGGTTAAAATAAACTTCTGGTTCCATGTACCCTGTTTGGTTGTCTTAATTTTTTATCGTCTACGGCTTGAATTTCCAACCAGTCCATATAATTGCATATTTTAGGCACTCGACTTGTTCCTTGTGACTTCATTGCACCGGTAAAATCACTAAATCCGATAAGGCAAAATCTCCATCATGATGTACGCACTTATACATTTCATTGTTGTGATAATTTTGTTAAATGCTCTATTTCTTTATTTATGTAACGAAAATCTATAATTAACTGAATGTTTCAAAACTGTTCCATACTGTGCTAATACTGATTCGTCTTATTTTGATATATGGGAACACAACGGTTTTTTTGCTTTTTTAAGCCACTGTGTGATTCAGATCTTGCTGTCTAATTTCGTAGCCCAGACAGAAGCACTAATGAAAGGCAAGACACCGGAAGAAGCTGAGAAGGAATTAAAAGATTCAGGAATGAGCGCTGACAAAATTCCTGACATACTACCGCACAAAGTTAGCTTTAAAACTATAATTCGATGATTCGAAATTCTAAATTTCTTGCTGCAACTAAACTTTTGAAAAATATAGTATCGCTTCAACTACAATATAGCTGAAATATTCCTCAGTTTTTCATTTAGTAGCAGCATCAATAATCGTCATGCATAATTATACTTTATTTGTTCCTTACTGCATGTAGCGCAATTATTAATCTTTTCTGATGTCCAGTACAAGCTACAATTAATGTGTGGAACATATTGATCTTTGTCTTTAATGCTACTACTCATTGCTAAGATTAATTTCATTGGTAGTTCAAGAGTACGAGACTGTTGATCCATCTCATTTGTTGCAAAAAAATTATAGCCTAAGATTGGAAACATATTATGCTCATAATAAACGATATTCACCTTTACAGGTATTTGAAGGAAACAGACCCACAAATTCAATCGTACTACCCAAAGTATCTCCATTCACTCTTGGCACTTTGATTGCTCTATATGAGCATAAGATTTTTGTTCAGGGTATTATTTGGAATATCAATAGCTACGATCAGTGGGGGTTTGTTTTCTGTACTTTAATTATTTATTTTTGCATGAGCGTATTTCTGTGTTTATTTCATTCCAAAATCTTTAATTGCATTAAAGAGAAATATGTCAATTTATTTTTGCAAGTATTCATAGTACAGTTTATTCTTCGTGATTAGTTCTTTATTTTACCATGTGGAATAAGGTTCGAAGTTGTAGATTCATATTTTAAATTGGTATTTAATTTTGTTTCTTTTAGAGTTGAGCTCGGTAAGCAGCTGGCAAAAGTTATCCAGAAAGAATTTGAAATGAGTGTGGAATGCAGTTCTCATGACTCTAGCACAAATGGCATTATTAATTTTATTAAGAAGGAGAAGCGAACCAATAGATGAGCTTTGCTATCTAACTTAACAGCATCATTCTTCAACTCATTAGTTATTTTCATTTTATCTCCATACTTACTAGTATTTAGATCCTCTCAGTTGGTGTTTTATGGAGACATAGAATATTGTTAAAAGAAAATGAAAGTTTTTATTTTTGGAATTCGGGATATAATTTTTAACAATTTCTAGTACAGATAAAGAGATTATCCTTCATTAATAACCAGTTCCAGAATTTTTTTGGTTTTTCTCGGAACTTCTGAAGCAATGACAATAATTTATGCATTTTATCATTTGTGATTTAAATTTCATGAAGTATTTTTATTTTTATAACTCTTTTTCTTTCTTTTTTTTTTTTTTTTGTGGATATACATTGCACTGGACGGAATTTATAGCACACTGCAAGTTCTAGAAATGCTAAGAGTATATTATCAAATTTTCATCTTATTGTGTTTAATAATTGTAGAATTGCATTCTGATAAATAAATATGTAGTTAAAAGCTATTATGAAATTCTTCATGCATACCCAATGATTTCGTCGTGCTTTTTCATGAGCTTATCTAGGAAGCGAATAATTTATTTGTAAGGAGAATGTCCTACGTTTATACATGGAATGTAAACAATAGATGACAAAAAAGGGTTATCTATATAAATTCATAAATGTAGTGGAAGAAATTTTGGAAATCGTACAGCTTTAGAAATATATATATATATATATATATATATATATATGCAATATATTCAGGTGCAATTCATTTAGTTATTTCTGCAGCTAGTAAAAAATTTTTGGTTTTGCTAGGTAATGGTTTTCTTTTTTAGATTGATTAACATGTATCTTGTTGATAGAAGATTATTCATAAAAGTATTTTATACATACGGATCTCTTAACTAATTAAAAAAGGCTTATAATCCAACAATAACCACTTTCACTTCCAAGGTGGGTTTCGGCATTCACAGCTTTTATATCAAAAACTCCACCAGTTATTTCGAGTATTGAACATCAAATATACTACCACCAACTATTGTGCGCCCGTGCTTATCAAGACTATAAGCAATCACCGCGGCAGTTAGTTCATTAACTATTCTAATCTGCATCTTTTGTTGCCTAATGTTGAGAATTGTTGAAGTATGTTACTAGTACTGTTATCGCAGCATTTTTTACCCCTTTCCAAAGATAAGCCTCTGCTGCCTCTTTTAGATTTTGTAATATAAAAGCACTACTTTAGCTAGGGGAGTGTTCTTTACCAACTATTGTTTTAATCCGTGCATCGCCATTTTTTGCTGCAGACATTATATGGCACAACCAGATCATTTATTTCATTAGTTGGAAGATTCGTTGTAATGATTTATATATATATATATATATATGATTAATAAGTTAAGCGTTAGAAAGACGTTTCAGATAGTACGAAATGGCAGGTTATGCGCTGAAGCGATTAATGGCTGAGTACAAGCGTAAGTTATGTCTCAAATAATGATAATCCCGTATGAAGTATAAAGCACTCGCGTGCGGTATTATAGAAAGGAGATTGGCAACTGTAGCAGGTTTTATAATCCTATTATTGTTGTTAGTAACTAAAGTAGAGAGGTAATGAACATGCATGTGCGCATAACATTTATGCTTCTGGGAAGGCAGTCTGTTACAGAATTGACGCTAAACCCACCTGAAGGGATTATTGCTGGACCAATCAGTGAAGATAATTTTTTCGAGTGGGAGTGTCTAATCACAGGACCGGATGAGACATGTTTTGAGAATGGCGTCTTTCCAGCAAGGATTATTTTCCCGCAGGTATTTAGTCTCATTCAGTTTTATATGTATCTTATCTTTTACGTTCCATTCCTAGAATGATTTAAAGTAAATAATTTAATACTGACTATTTCAATTAATTGATTTCAGTTGTTAATAGATGAATGAGTTTAGTGTGTTAATGCTTAACAGAGTATGTCCATGCTTTTATAATAAAATATATTTTCGATAAAGAAGGATTGCAGCAAATTGTGATTTTCATGTGATCAAGTGACTTCACCTAATCCTCGTTTTAATCTTTTCCTGTTTTCATGATTTCATATGCTATCAATTTTTCATCTTGCATTTGGCTAATACGAATTTAACTGAATTAATTTAAATTTAAAATTGGTTTATTTCAGGATTATCCTCTTTCTCCGCCAAAAATGCAATTTACTTGCGACATTTTTCATCCAAACATCTATCCGGACGGACGCGTTTGTATTAGTATTCTCCATTCTCCAGGTGATGATCCGACTGGCTATGAATCAAGCGCAGAACGATGGTCTCCTGTACAGTCCATCGAAAAAATCCTGCTTTCTGTTGTGTCTATGCTTGCTGGTGAGTATCCTTTAACTATATTACTGATTTATAGATTTTTCGCAGGAAAAATTATTTAATTGCTGTTGATATGAACAATATACCACTTTGTGTTTAGTTAAATTAAAATTATCATTTACAACGAAAAGTGTGTCTTTAGAACCAAATGATGAAAGTGCTGCCAACGTAAATGCAGCAAAAATGTGGCGTGAAGATCGTTTACAATTTGAACGTATTGCGGATAGTCTTGTGCGTAAAACGTTATGCTTGCCTCCGAATACCTCATTATAATTATGCCCCATAGACGCAGTTCCAGTTACAGTTTCCATCTATTTCTATATGTATCATGTCACTATTTTTGTATACCCGGAATCATTCCCGACTACACTACTCCTGTTATTTCTATCTTTTATCTATATGTTTTATCAATATAGCGATGTATAAAATTTCATGCTGAACTCTCGATATATAATATAATCAGTCAAAGAGGCTAGCGGTATAGCTTATGAAAGGATCTTCCCGTCCTATCCTTCTTATTCAAAAAATGGTGTTACATGTTCTTTATGGTATTAGTAATATAGCACGAGACATACCTATTCCTACCTTTAGTGTGAGATTACCTGAACAGAAAGCCGACCCAATTTCTTGCAGCACTGATTAATGAACGGAGGTGATGGATCGGAACTTCTTAGAGGACACTATTGTCTATGATACGCATCACAACTATTCAGATATCGAACTCATCATCTCCACACCTCTCGTTTAGTGACATAGCACTACACCATCACGTCACATCACCTCACGTCCCTCCTCACTTTACTTAAGGGTAGGGAGAGAAAGAGTTGTTTCCTAGTGGGTAGTGTGAAACGAGTCGTTTCATCGGACTGGTCACTGAATAATGCAAATGAAGGATGTTTGGTTGGAATCTTGCTATTCGCACTTGTCTTAGACCTATCAATCAGTTTATTTTGCTCCCATGTTTCTCACTCAAATCCAGAACAGTAAACTGAAGTAAATTAAAGTCATATGATTCATATATATTATTATTACTAATTATAATTTCCCCAATTACCAATGAAATGTTCATGAGATCCTTTGTATAATATTTTGAAAGGCGGTTGTAAGCATTGTTAATGCAACATTTTTGTAGTTCGGTTGTTCCGTGACAAGTTTTGAACATTGGTTTTGTATGAAATGCCTATTGTTGGTGAACGCTCGAAGTTCTCATGCTTGAAAATTTACGACGATACGAGTTCGTCAAGTGATGGTGATAATGGCACGAAATTGATGGGTAAAGTGACACCTAGCCAGGTCATTCACCTATTTGTTAGGATTGAAATGGTAGAAACAAATTTATAATTTTTAAGTACAAAACAGGAGCTTTAAAGATGATTGTGAATGGCAGGTCTTCAGTCAAAAAATCAGCTTTCGTATGGTCTGATTCGTTGCTTAGTCCATACCTTATCTATTGATTGCTTTCTTTAAATTACACGGTTAGCCGATTCTGTAAAGGGCACAAATTTTTTTTTGATTGCATACAGATTTTTCCAGAAAATGGAGTTGGGAAAATTTGTTTGGTTGATTTGTGGAGGATTTCCTTCAAATCAAGACTTATTTCCAGAATAAAAAACATGAGAATCAGAAAAAATCAGCTACATGCAAGAATAGTAGCGGTTTCATTGTGCATTCCATACCACAAAAGCGAAAAAATAAGGGGAAAAAAACCAAAAAAGTAAGCAAGTGTAATTTTTAATAAATAAGTGACATGTTCTTTAATTTAGCTCTGTCATATATAATGTGAATTTGTTAAGTTGTTTTAAAATGATTAAGATTTTGCAAAAAAGCAATTTAACTTAATTTCAAGATACCTATTGTCATGGAAGATGGCTTCAAAGTGCAAGATAGAGATGGGGATTATATGGAAAAGAAATACCGCGAGGTATTTATCTCCCTTTTGTTATTACTCAACAAAAAATATTACTTTTTCGAAATCTCTCTCCATATTTTTTTTTTGTGCAGTTTAAGGTAATTTCTTTTTTCTTGTCCAATGTTTTATTATTTCTATGTGAGGAATGCTATAAAAGAAATAAAAGCACTGCTGAGGCTAATATATGTAGAGCATTTTTTTTTAATTTAAATAATTCTATCTTTCCATCTAAAGCCACAAACATCGTTATTTGTCTTCCATTATCCACGATTTTGTTAGATAATTTCTTCGTCCTTGCCATAAATGTTTCTTATAGGATTTGCAACAAGCAATGGAAAACAGTCGCGAAGTGGCTTCTACGGCATCTGCCGATCCTGTGCAAGAGATAGCATCATCCGATGTTTGATATTTGAATAGCAGTAGACAGTTTAACTTCCAGTTGATTTATTATTCGAAAGAATATTAATAAAAAAAACGGTGGGCTTAGCTCCAGGAGTTATATTCAGATTTATTTTCAGGTTCATACAGAATCTTGGATGGACCAGGAAAAAGTGAGGACAAAAGATGCGGTTGAAGCACTCATATCAGAAATTGATTTACAAGCTTCTGCTTTGTCGACAAAAGATGATGGACTTCAGAAGACTGTACGTTTCCAGGGATTTTACTTTTTTTATGAGTTTGAAGTTTCCCAAATTTTTTGACATGCACATTTTGCTACGGTTACGAAATTTGTTGACTTCAATTGTTATTTATACATGC